AATGGATGAATTAATACACTTTTTTCTAACGACCCCTCCCCTCCACACTACCACAATTAAATCTTTTGTTCTGCTCAAAACATTTTGACACCTTTATTTCATATTCTGCACTTTAAAATAAATCACATTGTAAAGCTTAACTGTTGAAAATATATCTACAAAATATGAATGTTGAAGAAAGCCATTGATAACTTAATTTTCTTATGATACATTATCTTAAGATACCTTAGACATTAACATCAGAAAAGGCATGTAGGTGGGGTCTCCCCCAATCTCATTTTTCCTATAGGCCCTAGATAACTCGTCCCTTGCTAAAAAGAAAGAGGAAAAAAGGAGAAAGAGAACAGATTTTGCAGTGTGCCTTGGCCGGGTGCTTAGAAGCCTTTTTCTTTTTCCAGAGACAACTATATGGATGTCAGTTCTGAAAACTGAGTTTCTTGAGGTACGGAGAGGAATAAGTTCATGGCAGGAGTTCTAATAAGGTGCCCAGGAACATACTTACTCAATCTTATTTGATGTACAGTTTTGTTCAATTCTAGAATGGGGGAGAGGAAAAAAATCCAACTTTTTCTATAGATAGCCATGTTGGGAAGACAGCAAAATAAAATGTATCTTCCCAGACAACCAAAATGCACAAACACGATTATTGGTTTCTAGGTGACCATGTGTCCTGTTTTACGGAAGAAACTGCTGTATATTAAAGTTTGTCACATGGCAGTCCTCCGCATGAGGATATAGTCAACGGAAGAGCCAGTCCTCATTCTGTTTAAAGAGGAATTGCAGGAAGGCTGAGTAACTAGTCAGTTGATCCCAAGTGAGAGGTCACCATATCAGTCCTCTCCAGTATGAGCCCATGTGTTGTATTTCTGTTTATAGTCACTTTTTAGATGTACATATATATTTGTGGATTGACAAGCAATTTTACAAAAGTGGGGTTTAGGGAAGTAGATTCTGTCTACACTACATCGTTATTTCTTGGCAGGAATCCAACGCAAATCTAATTAATTTAGAACTTGGTGAGATTTTCTTCTGCATTTGTATACATAGTTAATATTATACCACTTAGTTATTGTTTTCCCCATGTCTGTGAATTCTCTCCAATCCTCCCATTACAGAACAGCAACTTTCCGGCTTTCCTAAAAAGAGGGGAAAGTTACTGATCAATTTATACCACAGTCCTAGACATACTTCTTCAGCAGGAAATTCCACCAAGGTCAAGGAAACTTATTTAAGGGAACTACTTTTCAGGAAAAAATGTGCAGGTGTGTACAACTGAAGTCTTATGGATACTTGTACCTTTAGACCAGAGTCGGGGATTGTAGCACCTATGAGCCCCCCCCCCCCCCCCCCCCCCCCCCCCCCCCGCCCAGATTTCAATATGGTAGTGTGCTGGGAGTGGGGACCTTAGGAAAAAGTGTGGATGGGATTTGTCCTTTGCCTATCTTAAATTATCACATGATATGTGCTGACCTATACTTAACTAAAAAATAATATCCAATTGAATTTACTTTCTAGTAAACATAAGATACAGCTGCACATTTTATGTCTTCTTAACCAACATTATTTTATAATACTCTGAAGTTTCCACATGCTGTCAGTGAAATTTCATTGCTAAGTTAAACTGACACTCATATCCCCCACTGATAGTCTCCCTGTAATAAATATAAAAAGATTTGCCCTGTGAAATATGTAGCATGTGCAAGTGAGAACTAGAGACTGGCTCTGTGCTTTGGATACACCTCCCTTACATAGTATAATGCAATTACCTTGTCACATGTTATGCTATCAAACAGTGTTATCAAGTGCTTTGTTGAAAGAGCTTACTTATAAAACTCTGGAGGGTGGGAGGGATAATCAAACTACAGGACCTGAGTAGAGAGCTGCTTTAACTATTGTTTAAACATCCTTGGGTTTTATCTTGGAGATCTAAATATTAGGATAAGAGTAACATGTGGCCTCTTTCTGCTTGGTAACCTGCCTTCCAAGTCAGTCATCCTGTCCTTGTCCCCTAGAACTGGGGAATTAGTGATAACACATGTCTGTGATGAAAATGTTTTTCAGTTTTGTCAGTTTTTATATATTTGGGGGCACTGAATAAAAACGTCATACCACACACAATTCCTTCACAACAATAGCCTCTGGTCCAAGATAATTTATTGAGATTAGTGGCCAAGGGTGCTTCACCACTTAGCCTGACAATATATCCTCTACATCAGCTGTTATTTTTTTCTTTCTTTCATGGCCAGTTGCACCCACTAAAAAGTCATCCTCTGTGCAACCAGTAAATGTATTCTTCTCTTTTTTCAATCTCCTTGCATGAAATGTGCATATGGATGGGGAAAGTGTGGCCCATAGGCTGCATGCAGGTCTTCAACACCACTTTTGTGGCACTGAACCCATTTTTAAATTATGTAATGCTCAGGTGACAGCCTCATTCAAATTCCACAGTGCATACAAATATGTCAAACAACAAGACCTTTCTCAAACCATCTGAATGCAGAAAAATTGCCCCTTCTGAAACATTTCAATTTCCTTTTGTTTTGCCTTCAAACAGGAAATGATGCAAGATATACGTAGATGGAGATGTAGCCCCCAAAGTCACATATACCCACTTCTAGTGTAGGTAAATGGGATTGAATGGATAGGAGAACACTGTGGTGATTCTTTATGTGTCCAAGTCTAGAGGTCAGAGGCTGTTCTCTTTTGATAAATTAGCCAGCATTCAACATTGCACATATGTTATTTGTCATATATGACATGTTACATTGTCATAGCTCTTGAACCAGAATGTAATAGTGGGGCTGTTTTTTGTTTGTTTATTTGTTTGTTTTTTCTTTTATCTCTGCCTCTTTGGAAAGAGGTAGGCTGGACAATTCTGCCATATTAGCATTGACTTTCTTGGATGTTTCGTGCAAATCAGCACTATTAAGGTGTTTATTTGTTTGCCAATCCCTTTATCCCAAGTTGTGCTTGATCCCAGTTTGTGCTTGATCTCATTGCCTCTGGAGCTGGCCTGCACAGTCACCATGAACGTTTGCTCTCACAAGGTGTGAAATGTCTATTTGTTTTTTCAGCCAGCTTTGGCAGTGTGCTTCATATGATTGAAAGAAAGGAATGAAAAATAAAGCTGGATGCTTGATACACAATGATCTGTCACTTTAGAATCGGGGGTAGGAAAACCAATACTGAACATATAACATCAATTAAATATTTTTTAAAAATGAAGCGGGGATCAGAGAAACTTCTCATTGTTTGACTGATGTAAATAGGGGTAATTAAAAACCCCTATTTACATTATGCATAACTAATTAATAGGAATAATTTAAAAAGCATTTGGTCATGCTTCCAACTGTGTGGTTGTAGATAGGCCCTTTCTACACCTATCATTTTCCTTCCTCCACATGGAATTTTACTGTCTTTGCCTGATGACGAAGCCTTTGATCTTCAAAAGTTTGTGTGATATTTTGGGGAAATTTTGGGTAGCCCAATAAAGGTATCACTGCAAGACAGATTTTGTTTTTACAGAATATCAATCATAGTGTTAGAATTTTATTTCTAACCCTATGTATAAACCCAGTCTTCCTTACTGAGAGGGGCAGCAGAAGAATGTATGCCTAATAGCACTATGTAACACAATTTGGGGGAAAAACCTGTTCCTGGTTTGAAAGTGATATTTCCTGTTTAACTGTGCAGTACTTGCTTTGAAAGTAATGGTTATATGCCACAAACTTTATTTTTGTGGTTGCCACAAACTGTTGGATTGGTTGAGACTATGAGATATTCACTGAAAAACTATAGCAAAATGTGCTGCAGGATGTCTTGCAAAAACAAAGTTTTTCCATGTTTTTATGATAAAACCAATTAGGTAATGACATTTGTAACCCATTTGTAACCCATAGTAATACACAGTATTACTATGTATTAGAGATGCTGTGAGTTCCCTCTGGTGGTAGATGATACAATATAGCAATGTTTTCCATCATAATTCAAAATAAGCTGGTTCGATTAAGGTTGTTGCTTTAGCTAAGCAAAACTCTTAATTGTGATGGAAAGATATTCAGTTTTCTTTTGCCACTATCACCTCTCGCTACTGCTTCCCTCACTACATTAAAATATTTGGCACATTTAATATTGCTTGTCTCAGATAGGAACACCACAAGTAGCACTGTTGCCATCAGCATAACATCATGCTTTATGGGATAAAGCAATCCACTATCATGGAAAGCTCATATCTTGGTGAAATGTGCCATATATCTTCTTAAAATGTACCAAGTTCTTAAATCATTCCCTTGGAAAGGTATCAGTTGAATAAGGAAGATACGTTTTAGCTGAAAAAGAAGCCATCTGAAATGTCACTGGTTTTATTACAGCAAACAGTATTTCAGCAATTGGAAGACCTCAATCAAGGAAAAACGTTTTTTAAAAACTTTGTCAAAACAAATGAGACTTTCTATATTAAAATAGAGTGTATCTCATTTTGATTTTACCCAGTAATGCTTGCTGACAGTTCCTTGTTCTCCAGTGACTGTTCTTGAATGATAACAAGGCAGTTGGTTGTACAGTTGTGCTTATCTTGACTGGTTCAGGGCACAAAACTGGGGAACATTTTTATCTCTATATTACAGAAAAGGTGGAGAAAGTAACAAATAGAACTTAATAGTATTGTGGGTTTTTATTACTATGGAATCTGTTAATATGCATATTACTTACTAAATGGTGTCTCAGAGCTGCCTGCATGTCCAATTCTTGGTATCATTCTGCTGGTAGGAGGACACCATTTGTAGTTTTTCAATCCACAGACAAGCAAAGAATTAACCCACCACCCATCCCTCTTTCCCAGGCATGAGTTCAGTTCTTTCCCTGTCTTACCTTTATATTATGCTGTCTCTTAAAAATTCCCATCCGTAGTCTTGCCATCACTCCCCCATCCTATTATTGCTGGACTGGAGGAATGAGTAGAAAGTTACAGAATAGACAATTATTTACAGAGCTAGTTTGTTCTCACATGTGCCTACTGCTGACCACATCATTTTATAACTCTTTTCTTCACAGACCAGCCCTTAATGTGTTATGAAACCTTCCTTATCTCTTAGCACAATGATCCAGGCAGCTCTAAATTCTCAGAGAAGCTGAAAACATCAAGAGTGTGTAGAAGAACTGATGTGTCTGCTTCAGGAGGCAACCAACACATAAACTGGCACGTTGTCTTCGTCTGTTAACGCTACAAGTAAGTTGTTGAGTAGGAAAGGGAAACAGTTAGTTTGAAGATGTTGTCTATGGAATATAAGAGGAAGCAGTATCAAGAAGCTGTGAAAAAAAATCTATTTCAAGTGTTAGAGCAGAGATGGGAATCACGTGGCCCTCAATAGGTAGCTGAATTATTATTCTCAACATTTTTCGCCACAGCCTCTGTTTTGTTCTTATTGTGTAGACTATGCCCTTGTTTTTTAATGTTTGTTAAGTAGTTCTTTTAAAAAAAATCAAAAAAATCAAGGAAAATCAAGAGGCAGCTGGATGTGGGGAGTTAAAGTTCCCCCTACATGCATACAGGTTCCATTCTGGAGAGCTACACATTTGTTTGTAGATAAAATGGAAAGAGAGGACTCAGTATATGCAATGTATTTGATCTGCTGGGTTGTTTGTACCTCAGTTATGTGTCAAGTAAATTATTATGATTTGTAGGCATTGGAAAGGTAACTACTCTCCTAAAAAAAACCCTTGATATAGATCTAATTGTTTTAAACCAACTAGTATTTTTTTTATAAAAACCTAAATTACTTGTTTTCCCTTTTATTAATACATACATGTAGCTGTGTTGTTCCATAGGTGAAAATCCTAACATTTTGGTTGATTTTAATAAAGGTATTGCCCTGTTGTTGTCTCTCTGTGTGTACATCAATAAAAAAATGTATAAAAATGCTAACAATGTGCTTAAAGACATTGTTGTATCAGTCTCTGCTATTCAGATTTTTTTTAATCGGAATGTTTTTTGTAGCTCAAAGTGTATGTGTTAGATATTAAAGTGTTAGTGATACATTTTCTTGTATCCTGTACAGCAGGGATCCCCAAACCTTTTAAACAGAAGGCTGGTTCACAGTCTCTGAGACTATTGAGCAGCTGGACTATAGTTTGAAAAAATAAGGAATTCCTATGGAAATTGCATATATCTTATTTGTAGCGCAAAAAAAACCCCATGAAAGAACAATACAGTTTAAACGAAGAACAATTTTAACCAACATAAACTTACAAATATTTCAGTGGGAAGTGTGGGCCTGTTATGATGATATGTTTTCTTTTCTTTCTTCTGCAAATAGGATTTATGATGATTGGGACGGTGGTAATTGGAATTGGAATGGCAGGATCTGTACGGATCAGAGACTTGCTGAATCCTTTGCCGTCCAGTCCTGCCGAACACCTGAAACTGCTGGGCTTTGTGTCTAGGTGCGAAAAATTTCACAATATATATTTGCATGTATATGTGTGTGAGAGCGTTAGTCTGTATGTATATAAATGTCAAGATTCGCCTCAGAATTAAGGCCTAGTTGCATGAAAGAAGATGTGGGAAGGCAGGCTGAGAAAATGTATTATTATTGTTGTTACAATATTCATTTGTACTCCATTTTTTGTGGCTCACTTTCCTCCCAAGATTGCTACCATTCAAATTGTACTGTGCACTGCTAAAAACAAAAGTTAGAATACCCATTGCCTTCTGAATATTTTGCTAAATCTTTCCATTTTTTCAGAAAGTTTAAGAGATATGTTCAGCTTGACATCATTAGCCGGTGGAATGACTATCTCAAATGTAGTGATTCAAATGTAGAGATAATTCCATAAACCCACTAATGAAGACATTGCTGAAAATGTTTTTACCTGTCAAAGTGAAAGAATCTAGAGCAGGAGGATGCTTGAAGCTATTGCTGACTTTCTTATTTTGTGTGCAGTAAATATACTCTGGAGTTTGGTTTGAACTGTAAAGGTGCTATCCAGGTTGCCAAATCTAATGTAGAGATTGGGATTCAGCACCTTGGATAGTTCCTGGTCACTATCTGGTGGAGCCCCATTGCAATTAGCTTTATACCTTTATGTTTTAACATGTTTTTATCTGGGTTGTTGTGTTTTATGATGTTTTTACTTTAATGTGTTTTGTTTTATGGATTTTTTTTGCTTGTATGTCTTGTGGACACTATCCCACATGTAAGCTGCCCCGAGTCCCTTTGGGGAGATGATGGGGTATAAGAATACAGTAGCAGCAGTAGTAGTTGTTGTTATTCCTTTAAAATTCAAACTAAAACCCGGACTGGATTCAGCACCCCGCTGATGGAAGCCACCAGCTATCATTGCTGCAAGAGGGTTCTGTAGGAAGAGACATTATGTTTTGATATTTCAGATATGCCTGGATGTAAATTGGTTTCTGCAAGGCCATCAGTCCATGATTGAACCACAACACCAATTTGGGTATCCAGATTCTAATTACTAAGATACTGATACTGCTCTTTGAATTCTTTCTTAAAGGATTCAGTTAAATCTAACTGTGTTGTAGATATAGCAGATATATTTTGATTCATTTTTTTAATGTTGAAATTAGGCGATCTCTTGGCAAGGTTCAAGAAGTGAAACAAATAAGTCTTCAAGAAGCTCTGAACAGTAATGAAGTCAATGCAGCCATCATCAGTACAGATAACCAAAACCACAGTGAAAGTGTCAGGTATCCATTCTCTAAAAATAATTATTTCTCCATCATTACTTTGAATGCATCATTGACCCAAATTATAAAGCGCAAAATTCTCACTCATTGTTATCTCACTCATAATATTTGGCAATATAACCAAGTGAAACTACTTTTTTCATGAATTGATAGTCCTATGCATTTACAAAACTGCCTCTGCTCAAATTCAAAAACATAGATGACATCTGATCTTTCCCTGTTACAATTTATGTTCATTTCATCTTGCAATATATATTATATGCGCCACACAAGTACTTGGATTATAAACTTAGATGTTAGAGGACACAATGTAAAGTGATCATTTATTTCTAGTGTCTATAAATGCCCCCTGCTTCTGTTAGTGGTAACCTTTTTAATGTATTCTAGCGATTATGCTGGGAATGCTAGGAATTATTGTGAGGGTACTGTATACAATGTAACAGTATACAATGTAACATATGCTAATTTTTCCTCTATAAGGATGTGCCTAGAAGCTGGAAAACATGTCCTTGTTGAATACCCCATGTCATTGTCTGCAAAGACAGCACATGAGCTCTGGGGATTAGCTGAGCAAAAAGGTATTTATACAATTGGAGCCATAGATAATCGTTGAAAAAACCGCAAGTAGGTAAAGATTTTTCTCTTGTCAGCAGTCATTTGGGGAAGGATAAGGGATTCGGGGGCAAGGAGATTATGAATTTTAAATTAAATTTTAAGTGTATTTATTATATTTTAACTGTATTTTAATCTAAATCCAAACAGTACTATTTAATTGGGGTTTTTTTTAATGTGTTCACTGTGTTTTAAATTGTGACCAAAGTGCTGTCTTGAATCTCCACAGGAAAAAAGGGGTATAAAGTAAATAAATAAAAATTATGTGGCATCAGTTTCAAAGATACTTATAGTATAAAAAATCCCTTGCAGCATAAAGATGAAAATAGATATGTGGAAATCCTCCTTTTTGTAAAAAGCTGATATACTGATCTATTAAACGCCAGATATCTCTTCTGTTGGTTCCATAACCAAACCAGCATATTAATATGTGGTTTTATTGCATTTTATTCCTACTTGCACAGTTGAAAACATTCCTCCTCTTCCTTAGCCGGTGGAATGACTATCTCAAATGTAGTGATTCAAAATGTGTGCAGCCAGTTCACACTTAGATCTAGGCCAGTGGTCTTTGGGATACCAGATGTTAGTGGACTCCAACCCCCAACAATTCTAGCTGTTATGACTGGTGACCAGAGATGTTGGGCATTGTAGTGTTCTTCTTTCCTGAATCTTTTATAGTTTTTTGCTTTTAGTTCTAGGAAAGGTGAAAAATATGTTGTATTTTTTGTAGAAAATAAAAGTAAGAAAATGTGGAATGATGACTGTTATTTTCTTGCTTGTCTTGGCTAATAGAGATTGTAGCTTTTCTTGTTTGTGCAAAGAATATTCCTTTATATTAAAATGTTATGGCACATGTGTCAAACTCAAGGCCTGAAGGCTGAATTCGACCTGCAATGTTATTTTATGTAGCCCTCCAGATGTTACGACTACAGATGTTACGACTCCAGATGTTCCTGTATTCCTTATCATTAGGCATCATGACTAGAGCTATTTGGTTTTGTGATACAGTAACATCTGGAAGACTGCAGAATAATGGGATTTGAATTGAGGTACAAGACTTACAACTACAATATCTGACTTTAAAGTGTCCTTTAACATTCCCCCAACCTCAGAGCCACAAGTATTGTGGGTCAACATTTCCTATTATCTTCAATCCACATGATGGATAATCAAAACTGATGGGAGTTGTTGTTCAATAACATCTTGGGACCCAAACTGGGTAAAAACTAAAGGGCACTGGATACTATGTAATATATATATATATCTACAGATTCTCCATTCATGGATTCAGTGGCCCTTTGAAGGCACCATAAGGCTGATGTGGCCCAGTATGAAAAAGGGTGTGACACCCTTATATTTGGGACAGGGGTAACAGTTCAAATAGTAGCTCAATATAATTTATTTCGAAGCAAATCTGCACAACGTTTGATACATCAGTTATTAATGGTAGATCACCTAATAGTCTTGAGTTTGCTCCTTTCCTGAGTTCAAATACCAGGGAAAAGGGAAGTAACTGATAGGATGTAATATATGGTGAATGAGCTTTGATTAGTATGGTGATTCACAAGATGTCTAGATATGTAGAGAGTATTTTACTCATGAAGTAATATAATCTATAGCTGTTCCTCACTCCAATTCCCTCACTCAAACAAGGTTTTGGTGGCATTACTAGCTGTATGACAAAAAATTCAAGTTCTTTGATAGTTTTCCACAAGAAAATCAACACAGTGTCATTGGTCCCACTCCCATTTTGATCCATTATTTCTTAAACTTCATAATGATCTTGGTAATCCTATTAAATCTGCTTTTCTTTTAATGGCAGGTAAAATCCTTCATGTGGAGCATATTGAGTTACTGACAGAAGAATACAAACAACTAAAGAAAGAGGTGGAAGGGAAGGAACTTGTGAAGGGAACATTACATTTCACAGGTTGGTTAACATTTGGGTTGACACAACTCTTATCTGATTTAAGCTTTGAGTTCATTAATTTACTTGAACCTTTTGCTGTCAAAGATTCCTTATCACGTTGACATAGGTTTTCTGCATTCCAGAGTTATTCCTGTGGCGCTTTCCATTTTGGTAGTGTGGGATTGATGTAACTATACTGTAAAATATGTATCCTCTTTGACAACTATTGTATTATAGGCCACAGTGTTGTGTTAATAGGCTTATCTGAATGGCAGAAATAAACTTGATTTGCTAAGCCAGAACTATCCAATTGACATAGGACTGAACTATGATAATTTGACTTATAATTTCTACCGGCTATTTTTGTTCCGAAAGGTGGTCCACTGAATGAAGAGCGTTCAGGCTTTCCAGCTTTTAGTGGGATTGCCCGCCTCAGTTGGCTGGTCGACCTTTTTGGAGACCTCACAGTCACTTCTGCCACAAGGGAAGAGCAGAAAGAAAAAAATTATTCCAGAATGACCGCACATTTCTTGACTGCAGATAAGAGGTTGGTCTCATTAGATTCTAATAAACATTCAGTTTAACCATAATAATGTGTTTGCTAACTTGCTTAGTTTTTTTAAAAATCTTCCCCTTAATATATTTATTCAGTAACATTTATTGGAAATCGGGAAACAGTTTTGATTTTGATTTTTCTAAATACTAATTGGATCAGTAACTGGATACTAAGTTTGATTTGTTAAGAACTTTAGTAAGTCATAGCAATCTAAATATGTTGATTGGCATCCTATTATAGTTTGCTGATTTTTACTCATCAAACTGTCATGGAGCTAGAGTCAAAGTGTTCCGCTGAGAATGTCACCTAAACTGGCCCTTAAAATTAACAGTAATATTTATTTATTTCGCGTATTTCTACCCCTCCCTTCTCAACCTCCAAGGGGGACTCAGGCGGCTTACAAAAGGCACAATTCGATGCCTGCACAAACAATAAAAATAAAACATATATAAACAGCAATTATAAACAATCAATTATACATCACAATCAATAAAACCAATCTCATGCTCAATGTTCGCCAGCTCAGAGTCCATAAATTCATTCCACATTGTCAGTTCCTATCAATTCTAGTCGTCATTGTCCTTTATCTATCTGCCAGGTTACCCAAAAGCCTGGTCCCAAATCCATGTTTTTAATTTCCTTCTAAAAGAGAGGAGGGATGTCGATGACCTATTTTCCCCGGGGAGTGAATTCCACAGGTGAGGGGCCACCACCAAGAAGGCCCTGCTCCTCGTCCCTACCAATCTCACTTGTGATAGAGGTGGGGCCGAGAGCAGGATCTCCCCAGAAGATCTTCAACTCCGAGGTGGGACGTAGAGGGAGATGCATTCGGACAGTATTATCAGAACGTTTACAAGGATACCCATTGTGTGCATGAAGTCTAGTAAATTTGAAGACGTAGTGATGAAAAGCATTTAAAGAGAGGATCTGATTCAGATCCTCGTGACGATCATGCCATGTGATCTAGATAACTTCCCCTCTAATTCCAGATCTGTGTAAGTTTCACTATGGAAAATTCTGAAATGCTGGGCTGGGGATGTGGATCTGACAGGGAAATCTTACCAATTGTGACTTCTCTTAACTAAAGTCTAAAGAATACTTGCAACTTTTTCCATACTAGGAAATGTTTGGATTTTTCACATTTTGAGTCTTTTTTGCTTAAAAAAATCTTTGTACATAAAAGTTTTACATGTTTTGAGACTTTTAACAAAAATAATTAGATACACATACCAAATTAGGTTTTTGCACATATCTTTGACAAATACTCTTATAATATTTTCTCAAAGGAAAACATCGGAAATTATATTGCTTTTGCATGTGTTGGTGAAAGTGAAGATAATCCTAGTATTAATACTGTACCATTTTTACCTGGCAACGCAAATAGGCAAGAAAGGCTTATGAAGTGATGGAGATTGATAGGAATTAATTTCATGGCTACACTCTTTTGGTTTATATTAAGTTATTCTTTAAAAAGGCAATGATTTTGTAACTTTTTCTGAGAGATAAAGATCACCAGCAGAGGGAGCTAGATGTTGGCAGAAAGCATCCAGAAAGCCATTTACAGGCAGTCCCCAAGTTAAGAACAAGATAAGTTCTGTAGGTTGGGTCTTAAGTTGAATTTGTATGCAAGTCAGAACAGGTACATTTTTAAAGTGTAACTCCAGCCACACACACACACGCACACCTTGGATAGCATAGGGAAGGGTTAACACCCCTGTGGTTTGTTTTGCTGCCTGTGTCCCTGTTGAGAAGATTTCACCTCACTTTCAATCCCTGTGATAATTACATTGTGAAAAAAATGCCTTGTTGTGGAAACAAGGATTGGTGATAAATCTTTAGTGGAGACACCTTTTCCAAGAGTAAATTTCCCTTCTGAGGGGTAGATTCATGTTTACTTCACCATGCTTCCAGTGTCCAGTGTATGACTTTCACTGGTGAAGTTTTGGAGAACTGGCAGAGCCATGCCTGAATTGCTTATGGGAATCAAGTCATTTTGTTTAAAAACATTATTAGTGTACATTGTTAGTAAGATATAATATATAGGTATTTTCTCTCTCACACACAACTAAAATGGATAATGATGTAGGAATGATGTTCCTTGACATTACGTTGAAACATGTCATCTATATAAATAAAAATGTAATGTTCGTTTGTGGGATTAACAGAACTCAAAAACCACTGGACAAATTGACACCAAATTTGGATACAAGACACCTAACAACCCAATGTATGTCCTTTACTAAAAAAAAAAATGATTTTGTCATTTGGGAGTTGTAGTTGCTGGGATTTATAGTTCACCTACAATCAAAGAGCATTCTGAACCCCACTAATGAGAGAATTGGGCCAAGCCTCCCACACAGAACCCCCATGGCCACAGCAACACGTGGCAGGGGACAGCTAGTAAAGAATAAAACAATCAGTTGTAGTTCCTAATGTCACAGCTTTTATTTTTCTGCTTTTTTTAAGCAAGTCTTTTGCATGGTCCAGTTTCCTTTTTTGAATCCTTTCTATGCCTTCTTATTTAACCTAGGCCTCTGACTTGGATTGAAGAAAGGGCACCAGGGATGAAAAGGGATAAGACCATAAACTTCTGCTTCAAAACTGGGTGCTTGGAGAGGCTCCCAGATGCTCCTCGTGCAGCTGTGGGCATCTTCATGCAAGACCTAATCCTCTTTGCCAAAAAGTTGCTGGGCCAGGTTTCCAAGGAGGAACTGGCCGCTGAGAAGAGACGTATTCTGCTATGTCTTGAGCTTGCCGAAAAGATTCAAATGCACTGCGAGCAGCCACAAAACATCTACTCTTGAAACTGCTTTGGAATACTGGATTAGTCACCTAGAACTACTGCTTCTTGTTCTCTATTTTTTCCTACAATTTTCCTCTCATTTGCCAAGCTTCCTATTATAACTAGTAAGAGCTTTCTAACAAGTATGAAACACTCCAAGCCTTCTGTGTTGCTTTAGGTTTATTTTAACCTGGCAAAGCAAGATACTATACAACTATTACCCTGCCTTCATGCATGATACCTTTATAATCAAAATCTAGTGAACAGATGTCCAGATATATTACTTCAGATACAGGTGCTATGGCAGCAGTTTGCCTTTTCAACAGATTATATTTTTTATGAATTATATGGATTTCAACTAAAAATCTTCCTTATTTGCACAATATGTCTCGGATTTCTTTTCTGTTTTTCATTTTTACACTTAGGGCTTTATGCTTTTATAGTTTAAAATCTTTATATACTTTGACTTCTTGCACTTTTCTAATTATTGTGGGCCTCTTCCCAATATAAGAATATGGGGGTGATTCTGCAAATTGTCTTCATTTACGAAAACAATCCATGATAGCAGAATGACACTGGAAAATGTAATTCTGAGTTACATTTTCTTGTTTCACTCTTGAGGAAGTCTTAGTTGAATCAATGAGTGTGACTTTTCCAGCTATTGTGCAGGATGGAATCTCGATACTAGTAAGTCTTTTGAATATTACTGAAGTCAGAAAATAACATTGCTTGGGGCTGAGGTTTTTTCTTCTGAAATATTATATGTTTCTTGTGCTAATCTATGACCGAAATAAATGATTTGATTTGATATATTGGGATAGGAATTATGTAGCCTTCCAAATGCTGCTCAACTGCAGCTCCCAGCAGCCCCAACCAGGATAGTGAGGAATGCTGGAAATTAGTACAGGATGCTGAGAATTGCAGTTCAGAGCCATCTAAAGGGTCACATGCTTCTTGCCTTGGTAGGTAACTAGCTGAGATAAAGATGTAAGTTGCACAGTGCAAGTATCCCTAAAACACATATTTATATTTTATGCAGTTTGAATGCGACTTGAAGATCAAAAACTTCTCTAACAGTTTGCTTACTTGGCCTCATGCCAAAATGAAACTTGAGATTCCAGGACCATGTTTTGATCCTGCTGGTTGCCTTCTTGGAGCTAATTCAATCTTCATTTGATAAAGTTCATAACTAAAGAATTTTGCATTGTAAATTTTGTTTCTGAGTGCTTGTGTGTGGTGGAAACTTGAAATGCCACTTCAGATACACTCGATAATGTCCTGCTATTGTGATATTACTTGTGCCTGTAGTCAACTTGAAGGGGAGAAAAGAATTATTAATACAAATTGCCAGCCAACATTTGTCTATTTAGCCTTGTTAAAGTACTCTGCCTTGAAATTGCTTCTCTAAATTCTGAGTAACTCTTGGCCACTTGCTAATCCATAATATCTCAAGACAGATATGCACAATAAACTCAATTATTGAAATATTTGAATTTGCATGTTTTGTTAGGGTAATTATGAAAAAGGATGTATAAAACACATGGGAACTGTTAAAATACTATAGAGCCAGAGTTAAATTAGATGTAGTATGACTCTGGGAGGTACAAAAAAAGGGAGAGTAATCTACAGTTCTAAAATATACTGAGAGAAGACCATATTCCAACATTTCTGGGATTGTGCCTTTCACTTTGTCGAGTGAGTTTCAAGGGAACCAGCACAATCTACTATACTTGTAAACGTGTTTCTCTCTTTCTTATAGCCTTGTTTTTTGCTTTATGGTTGCCTGTAATGTTCCTTAAGTCCTCAACGTAAGCTTTTGAGGAAAGCAAAATAAATAAATAAATAAATAAATAAATAAATAATCTTCCAGTTGGACTTCTTAACAAGATGGCATTTCCAAGTTTCTTTGCATATTTCTAATAAATTTTGCCAAGCATGATTATTAAAATATTTACTGCATGTGTTTTTTGTTATAAAAATGGGAGACTGCCAGTCTGGTTGATCTTGGATGTGTATAGTGATTGGAAATCTGTAAGTGTACAGGTGTACCTCTGTTAACAAAGTAAATGTGCCATTAGGTATTATTTCTGCAAAGGAAAATTTGGTATTAGTGGCAGAAATAACCTGCCTCTAATACCAGTGGAATGAATAGAGGAAGGTTCTTACACCCCCCAAAAAAGAGCAGTTCAATCCTTTTCAACAAAGTCATCTCTAGATACGGTTCAAGATGGTTTTATTTATGGAAGACTTACCTGACCTATTTGTTTCATTTCATACAGGTATAATTAAATGGCAAATTATGTTTCAATATAGGGCACATTGTGTTAATTTGTATTTCTAAGATTTACATGTAAACAGTTGTAGCAGTTATAAAATAAGGTCTTATTTTCTCCTAGTTACAAGTATCAGTTAAGACTTCCTATTTTATACATGCACCAAACAATGATGTAAACCCAATATGTTTCTCTTGTCTTTCTCTTGATATATTTGAATGCAGTTGCCACGTTAGCTCTACAAAACCCATTATATGGTGCATATACCAAATAATTATTGCTAGTTAGAATGATTAATCCTTCCAGATTCTTCAGTCTTTTGTGATATTTTCTCTCGTTTATATTTCTCCCTTAAAAATTCTGGTACATGATGATCATAAATACACTTACCTACCATTTCCAGTTGGTTAGAAATTCTACTCAAATGAATAATAAGGTACTATGGTTTTCTTTCATTTCACACACTGTTCTGCTTAGATGCAAAAGTGCATAATTCTTTGTTTATTTTTTATTTAGTGTACATAATCCTTCAAGTATCTCCCTACGCCTGTTTAGATAAGACTCTATGTTTGTATTGTCATTTTCCTTCAAATATTGTTCTCTATCCTTGGCTCTATGTTGTAATGGATTCTACGTTCGGCATAAATCTCCAAAGCTGACCTCTCACGAACAGAAACGGTCTGATTAGATTCACCATCTAACCTACCTGCTCTCCTTTTCACCATTACTTGCGCTTATCCCTGAATTATGTATCATAGACAAAGTGACATTGCAGTTTCCCCCAGGTGTCTTTCTAGAGTCCATCAAATTTGATCTGAAGGATTGTACACTATGGAATATAGGATCAGTAAATTTCCATATAAATTGGATTTTGTTCTGTTCCTGCTGGGACCTCATATTGTTAATTCTACGATGGATATTTTTCTGTGTAACAGAATTGCTAAGAAATTGGTACAGTGTATGAAAGCCTTATCTTGCAATTATTTTAGGTCAATTCAGGCTTGGTTGATATAAGTGTAAGGAGAAGTTCCAGCAGACTGAAGAAAAGCAAATGTTTTACGCATCTTCAAAACGGGAGGGAGGGGGGAGACCTAAAGAATTGCTGCCCAGTAAACCTGACATCAATACCAAGAAATATTTTAAAGCAAATAATTAAGCAGACCACTTAGAAAGCACCTACAAAGCAATGCCATTCTCACATAAAGTCAATGCAGATTTCTCAAACAAATCATGCCAGACAAATCTTATCTCATTTTTTATATAGGTAAATGTTTTGTAGATGAAAGTAATGCTATAGATATAGCAAATCTTGATTTCAGTAGGGCCTTTGACAAGGCCCTCATTGTCATTTTGGAAACAAGTAAAATGTAGGCTAGACAATACTACTGTTAGGTGGATCTGTAATTGACTAAATAACCAATTCCAAAGGATGCTTGCCAATGGTTGCTCTTCATGCTAGAAATAAGTGACTAGTGGGGTGTCACAGAGTTCTATCCTGGGCCTTGTGCTGTTCATCTTGGAGGACAGAATAGGGGGCATACTTATCATGTTTACAGATGACACCAAATTGGGAGGGATAGTTAATACTCCCGGGGATCAGAATCAAAATGACCATATCAGATTGGAAAGTTGGGCCAAAACTGACAAAATGAATTTTAATAGGTAGAAACATATAGCACTACACTTAGCCAATAAAAATGAAATGCACAGATACAGGATAAGTGACACCTGGCTTGAAAACAGTCCACGTGAAATCTAGGAGTTTTAGTAGACCACAATCTGAACATGAATCAAAAGTGTGATGCAACAGCCAAAAAGGCAATGCAATTCTAGGCTGCATCAACAGAAGCATAGGGTCTACATTGAGGGGAGTCATAGTCCTACTGTATCCTGCTTTGGTCAGACCTTAGGTAGATACTGTATCCAGGCCTGGGCACCACAATCCAAGAAGGATACTAACAAGCTAGAACATGTCCGGAGAAGGGTAACCAAATGACCAAAGATTGGGAAGCAAAGTCCTATGAGGAAGGGCTTAGGGAGCTACGTATGTTTAGCTTGAGACTCATGTTTAAACATTTGAAAGGATGTCACATTGAGGAGAAGCAAGCTTGTTTTTTTGCTCCTGAGAGTATTTAATAGAACAATGGATTCAAATTGCAGGAAAAAAGATTCCACCTAAACATTAGGAAGAACCTCTTGACAATAAGAGCTGTTCGTCAGTGGATATTCAATCTTGAAGTGAGGTGGAGTCTCCTTCACTGGATGTTTTTAAGCAGTGGTTGCATGGCCTTCGGCAAGAAGTGTTTTGATTGTATGTTCCTGCATTGAATGAGGTTGGACTAATGGCCCTTGTGTTCTCTTCCAACTCTTGTTTGTATATCCAAAATGTGATACATCTGTACTTCAGCCACTGACTAAAATGTGATACATCATGGGAAAAGACTACTAACTTAGTAATAATTGAGTGTAGAATTTTAAAAAAAAACTGCCAAGAAACAATGTGTACTGAACAAAATAGCTCCCTCATATTATAATTTTTAAAAAAACAGTTAGCTTAATTCTGTTGCTTTCAGCAAATCCCAGCCTCCTTTATTTTAACAGATTAAGAAATATCTTGAACATCTGGATAATCAGATGCCAGAATACAGGAACTACTACTAAGATTAAAGTGACACTGATGTTTTCTGCAACAGCAACCAACAATGTTAGTTAAAAAATGTACAGATCAAAATCCTTATGCAAGTGTGTTTGATTGTGTGTTCTTGCATGGAATGGCGTTGGACTGGATAGCCCTTATAGTCTTCCAACTATATGATTCTATGATCCAAAGTATATGTAGAGAAGGATGAGAGGAGATATGATAGCCATGTATAAATATGTGAGAGGAAGCCACAGGGAGGAGGGAGCAAGCTTGTTTTCTGCTGCCCTGGAGACTAGGACATGGAACAATGGCTTCAAACTACAAGAAAGATTCCATCTGAACATTAGGAAGAACTTCCTGACTGTGAGAGCCACTCAGCACTCGAACTCTCTGCCCCGGAGTGTGGTGGAGGCTCCTTTTTTGGAAGTTTTTAAACAGAGGTTGGATGGCCATCTGCCGGGGATGCTTTGAATTTGATTTTTCTGCTCCTTGGCAGGGGGTTGGACTGGATGGCCCATGAGGTCTCTTCCAACTCTATGATTCTATGATTTCTGGTTATTGACACATTTATTTGCTATAGATTTCTGCCAGTCACGCTGTCCTGTTCCAACCTGTCTTGAGTCTTTTGGCAAGTATTATCTTGCATCTGCTATCATAAATTTGACACAAAATTAGCATCTGTTGAGTTTCATAATTAAAAGGTCATGAGACAGTGAGCATTTTAGTCTTTTAACATCCCCCCCCTACCTTTAAACAGCCTGGAGAGTGGATGATGCCCTTTTCCATCTTGTTCTTTTCAATTTTAATCAAACCTTAAAGCATTTCCCTTTCCCCAGAATTCAGCTGTCCTCCCCCTCTCCTTCACTGCTAGGTAGCAACATGGCCATCTGCTTCAGAGAAGATAAACAGCTTAACTGGAATTCACTAGAAATGTGTTCTCAATTTGATTGTTGCTATGGCTCATTTAGAATAAACAGATGCAGCTTTCATTTCTTTAATTCATTGGAGAATCCTAACAAGATGTCCAGGTTAATAATGTTGTGCAAAGACAATAATCAGGTTGGTATACTAAAACTAATGCAACTGAAATAATGTAAGTGAATAAACAAGGTTTCAATTAAAACAAATCATGATGCCCTGGGGAGGAAATGCATTTCTTTCACATAGCTGAAGAAAGTAAGCTAGAATCATTGTGGCTCAACTGTATTTGTGAAGTGCATTAGAGTTCAGAGAAATCCTGAACAACTGGTATATCAATCTAATTCAAGAAGATTTGGCAGAAATCGGGTTGAAAGCAGAATTCTTCCTACATTTAGATCCTTTTTCAATAAACAGGCAGTCCTCAAGTTATGAACAAATAGGTTCTGTAGGTTTGTTCTTAAGTGGAATTTGTTTTTAAGTTGGAACAGATACATTT